GTGCACGCAGGCCACTCAAAGCCAGGACTGCTTTGCAAGTGGGGTACCCCTGAGAACTGTCTGTCCGGGGTGGGGGTCGGGTCCCTTTAAGCACAGCCCTCGGCTAGCCTGAGGCAGCAGCTCCACGCTCTAAGTCCTCATCTGATGCCCTGCCGGCACTGCTTCTGGCCATCCTTAACCCCGGTTCAGGGTCCACTTAATGTGGACATGCTAGTTCGAATTAGCAAAACGCTAATTCGAACTAGTTTTTTAGTCTGGATGCGTTAGTTCGAATTAGCTTAGTTCGATTTAAGTAATTCGAACTAAGTTAGTTCGAATTAGCGCTGTAGTGTAGACATACCCTCACTGTCCAGCTGTTTAATCTTGAGCAACTACAATCTGTCTCATTTTTCCATAGGTTCAAATTGGAAAGAATATCAATTCCCCAACATTGAAAGTGTAAGGACTGATGATCCACCGCCTGACTGTATTTTCTCCTTGGCACTTAACTTTCCAGAGTCAATAGTTATCACTTGCAGGTATCCTGTGCTCTAGTCTCCGCTCCTACAACTGTGAGATCCTCACCTGAGAACATGGTGATATAGTTAATCTTTTGTTACATCCCACTATGTGTAACTTTTTGGGTCCTTGTCTTATGGCCTTTTGCTAGTTCAATGATTGAGGGTATGACTACACTTGCAGCCTATTTCGGAATTGCAAATCAAGCCTGGGATTTAAATATCCCACGCTTGATTTGCATCTTCCCGGCTGGGTGCCATTTTTTTTTTTTTTAAATTTACAAGCCCGGAATAACTGCCCGCGTCTACTCGCAGCAGTGAAATGGGCGTTCGAAATAAAGCCCTATTTTGAACTACCTGTTATTCCTCCTGCAATGAGGTTTAACAGGCAGTATGAAATAGGGTTTTATTTCGAACACCCGTTTCACTGCCGCGTTTAGACGCAGGCAGTTATTCCGGGCTTGTAAATTTAAAAAAAAAAAAAATGGCACCCAGCCGGGAAGATGCAAATCAAGTGTGGGATATTTAAGTCCCGGGCTTGATTTGCAATTCCAAATGCCTACATTTGCAGCCGTATTCCAAAATAGGCTGCAAGTGTAGACACACCCTAAGTGCTTTGTTTATCCTTTTACTAGTTTGGGGGTCCTTGGTCTTTAATAAAATCTTTGTGTTCGCACTTTACCTGTGTGGCAGTTTTCTATTAAGCCCCGATGACAAATGTGGAATGGGGGTTCATACTTATAATATCTTGGGGATTTCTTTGCCAATGAGCCTACCCTAAGAAAACACTTCCAACAATCTAGTTTTTAAAAATATTTAAGAAACTGGTCATTTATTACTGTTATCTTTCATAATTGAAAGTTTAGCTGTTGGAGGAAGTCGGAATACATTTTTCCTGCAAAACTCACAAAGATTTGCTCACTTTCAAAACTGCTGCCATCAATTATTGCTCTGATTAGGCCTGATGCCCAAAATCTACCCTCAGTTAAAATATACTCTTTATTTTAAAAAGCCACCATTTCCGTTGTTTCCAACATAAGTGAAGCCAAACTGCCTTAAAGGATAATGGCAGCTCTTTATGAAGGCAGGAGATGGAGCAGTGCACTGTGAAGAGCAGATGAATGAAGGAAGTGGCCATCTTTGCTAAGCACAGTTTGTAACTTATTGCAAATAATGGAAAATAGTAGCCATTTCTAAAACCGCTAGGGAGATCTTGAAAGACACTTTGGGGCTTTTGTCTTATTAAGGACAAAGGGGATGGCAGCTGTTTTGAAGGGAAATAGTGGAATTTTCTGAAAAACATTATTATTTAACCTCTGCTGAAGGTGAAACGTTCATTTGCGTGGACTAATGGAAAAAAAGGACCACAGATCCTTAAAATAAAAAAATCAAATCCTGCCTATGCACACTATTACGGTGAGTTTTACTTCCAAAAAAAGTTTGAAAAGTCTGCCTCATTCCATTATTAAGATAACTTGGGATTTAAAAAAAAATGGTTACCAGGTGGTACATTTCTTCAAGGGCCTATTTAAAAATTAAACTGATCACTAATTAAATTACTGTACACTCTCAGAAAATTCACTAGCACTAAAATAGCTATTGTTATGATTTTGGGGAGTACATGTTATATTCTTGATACATAGCAGAGATTAACTATGTGCTATAAGTGAAAACACTACGTAGTCTCCACTACGGTTCCATGACTGGCATCTTTCTAATACTGAGTTCAATGTATCACTCAAGTGTGTGCACAACAAAAAGAACTGATTACTTCATAAGTGTGACTTTTCTGAGAAATTACTAGCTTTCGTAATCAAACTCAAGAATAATTTTGGGTTACAACAGACCTTTAGTGGGCTACTGTAGTTCTTCCCACTTCACTGTGGATTACTGCATTAATATAGCATTGTAAATCAGCAGAAAGAAGCAAGCAAAACAATATCTGTACAGACTTCCACTAAAGCAAACCTCCCCTATAAAACCCAAGTTATAGCCGCCTTGAAAAAATACTTCTCTTTTATAGACAGCACACTTAGCCTTAGTCTACACAAGGACTTTATTTTGAAATTATATGAAATTAATGGGCAGCAGGTTTAAAACAAATAAAAGGAAGTTCTTCTTTACACAGCGCATAGTCAATCTGTGGAACTCCTTGCCTGAGGAGGCTGTGAAGGCTAGGACTATAACAGGGTTTAAAAGAGAAGTAGATAAATTCAGGGAGGTTAAGTCCATAAATGGCTATTAGCCAGTATGGTAAGGAATGGTGTCCCCAGCCTCTGTTTGTCAGAGGGTGGAGATGGATGTCAGGAGAGAGATCATTTGATCATTGCCTGTTTGATTCATTCCCTCTGGCGCACCTGGCATTGGCCACTGTTGGCAGACGGTACTGGGCTGGATGGACCTTTGGTCTGACCCAGTATGGCGATTCTTATGTGCTTATGCTCTTATTTTGAAACAACCCTGCTAAGGCCAAATTTATAAGCAGAGCATTCACAATACTAAGCCCCTTATTTCAAAATACCAGGCTGCTTAATTTGAAATCTGTGCTCCTGCTTTTCATCAGGAGTAATGCTAATTCTGAAATAGTAATTTCGAAATAATGTTAGTGTGGATGCACCAATGCTGCTATTTTGAAATAATTGGCCTCTGGTGGCCTCTTATAGCTGCAGTTCTGACTGTCTCTGGCCACACCAGGCATCTCCACTGCTCTCCTCCTTCTGCGGAGTGCTAAAAGTCCTGGGAGCAGGAGAAGGGCTTCTCGTATGAATCCAGCTTTGTAAGCCCTGTGTGAGAGATCAGGACGCAAGGCAGAGATGAGCAATCCCAATGCTCCCTCGGACCCTCCAACAGCTGCCAGCCCTTCTGCTGCTCCCACAGCCTCCACTGCCCAGGGACACAGGAGAGCTCTGTCCTGGACTGGTGTGGCAATCCTGGACCTCATTGAGGTCTGAAGGGAGGAGTCCAACCTCCAGGATCGCCGTACCAGGAAAGGGAACATGGATATCTATGGCTGGATCACCAGGACAGGCCCAGTGTCAGCTTGCAGGAGGGCAGGGTGGCATAGGAGGATCATGAGGAGGAAGCCATCCAGGCATCCATGCCCACCAGCCTGCTCCTCACTTTAGAGCCAGTTTCCCCCTCCAAGGATGTTTCCCAAGCTTCTGAAGAACCAGGAGAGGATACTTCAGGTGAGTTCTCTAACTTTTCCTATCTACACATGGGGTCAGGCAATGGGCTGCAAGAGGCTGTACACTCCTCTCTCGGCCTACTGGATCTGGGGGTTTCACAACAGCCTGTTTACATATGTGCACATAGAGTGCCAGTCTGGAGCACTCCGTTCCATTATGCTCTCACATAGGAACCGCTCGATCCTTCTCACTAGGTTCCTAGACAGGCCTGCCTTACTCCCACCTCTGTGGTGGGACAACTTCCCATGACAAGCTAACACTAAGTAATATGGGGTTATGTAACCACACAGCAGTGCTGTACATGGCCTAGGATCATGCCCGGACCCAACATGTCCAGGACACAGAAGGAAGCCAAACCACTCCATCACTCCTCCAACCCTCTAGCTCCTGGCCTGGCCAACATATTCCCATGCCTGCTTGTCCACAGCCCATGGGTGTTGCAATGCTACCATGGGACATCTTTGTCCCTGCTGAAATGTGCTCACTGTCTAAGCAACATATGGCCTTGCTCAAGATCTTTGGTGCTAAGATGTCAGCTCAGAGATTAGGGCTAGGCTAGGCTTCATATGTGATGACTGCCCTTGTAACTTTTTTTCACAGCTGGGTCAGCTGCAAGTTTGGTGCGTCCCCCACCTCCCACTCCATCCATCCAATTGAGCAGGATCCAAAGGCGGAAACATGCCTGAGAGCAGCTCATGCAGGAGCAGATGGCCTACCTGCAGTCCCTCGCCCAGCGACTCAAGGACAAGCACCAGGAGTGGGATGCTGACCGGGAGGAGCACTTTATTGTTTGGTCTGCAGGGGGAGGGGGAAGGTGGGAAGGCGGGGCAGGGGAAAGGAGGGTTGGGGGATGAAAGGCACACAGGCAATGCAGGGGCCCTTTGTGGAGAGCCATGGGGGAGAGCCTCAGAACTGGGATTGCATGAAACTGTCCTTCAAAGCCTCTCTGATGAGCACAGCTCCCTTGCCCCCTCCTGATGGGACTTGTGTCCGGCCACTCAAACTCTCTGGCCAGACATTTGGTCTCAGTCCGCTTTCTGGCAGAAAAGCTTCCCCCTTGCTTTCACACAGGTTGTGGAGCACACAGCAGGCCACCACCATGAAGGGGGTGTTGTGCTTGCTGAGGTCCGGACAGGTGAGAAGACTCCCAAACCTCCCTTTTAAGCAGCCAAATGCACATTCCACGACCATGCGGCACCTGCCTGGCCTGGTATTGAACTCTTCCTTTCTGGTTTCCAGGCTGTCCATGTCAGGTTTCATGAGCAATGGGAGCAAGGGGTACGCTGTATCATCCAGGATCACAATGAGCATGTCCACCACCCCACTCTGATGGCATGGTCAGGGAAAAAAGTGCCAGTGTGCATCTTTCAGAAGGAGGAAGTAGTTCCGGAAGATGTTGTGCACCTTTCCCAGCCATCTAACACTGATATTGGTGAAGCATCCTTTGTGATCCATGAGGGCCTGCAGCACTATGGAGAAGTACTTCTTCCTGTTTATAAAGTCCAAGGCAAAGTGGTCGGGGACCAGGACTGGGGTGTGAGTACAATCTATGGCTCTCACACAGTTGGGGAAGCCCATGGCAGTAAAGCTGTTGATGATGCTGTCCACGTTGCTCAGAGTGACAACCCTCTATAGGTTCACATGGTTGATGGCATTGGCTATCTGAATGAGGATGGTCCTGACTGTGGGTTTTCCCACGCCGAACTGGTTCCTGACTTCTAGAGGGTGATGGCCACGTGCTTTTTCATGGGGATGGTGGGTCTCAAGTGGGTGTACTGTCACCTGAGGGCAAGGGCAAGCCACTTGCAGAGCTCCAGGAAGGTGTTCTGCAGCCACTGCTGATTGTCCCATCCTTGCAAGATGACATAGTTCCACTAGTCCAAGCTCACCTCCCTCTGCCAGAAGCGGTGTATAATGGTATCCAGAGGACTGAGTGGCATGTGCAGCAGCAGGAGTGCCAGGTCCTGAGTGAACAGGGCCTACTGTCCACATTGGGGTTCATCCTTCTTGTCCTCATCCTCATCCTGCTGGAGCAACATGCAGGTAGTTTGGAAGTACTGTGAGCCTGGCACTGCTTTGCATTAGCTCTGGCACCATGGTGTGAATTCTGTGACATCCATGCAGGCAACCAGAGCACAAGAAGGCATGTGCCCACTGTTTTCCTTTTGTGTCCCACGAAGGGGGAGGCAGTGAAGGAATGGCTTGTGAGACATGGCCATAGAGAGAAGCCCCTGAAAGCACATGTTGTAGCTTGCCAGACCAAGCAGCCACAGGAAGTATCTTTTCCTTTTGTGTCCCACGAAGGGGGAGGCAGTGAAGGAATGGCTTGTGAGACATGGCCATAGAGAGAAGCCCCTGAAAGCACATGTTGTAGCTTGCCAGACCAAGCAGCCACAGGAAGTATCTGCCCTCCTGGCGCCCTCCCCAGCATGCTTTCAGGGCTCTAAGTCCGAGGCAGGCTCCGTTCAATGTGGACACACTATTTCGGACTAATTCAAACTAATTTTGATGCTTTCCAGTTGTGAGGACTTGTTAGTTTGAATTTGTTAAATCGTGAATTAAGTCAAATTTAGTAATTTTGAAATAGTTTCCTAATATAGACATGGCCTTAGTGCTTTATTAGCATTTAATTAGTACATTCACATGTAAGATGTTACAGAGAGTAACAAGTCACAAACTAGCTTATCAACAGTGCTCATGTCATAGAAGTAATTAATGTTCTGATCCTGCAAGCATTAAGCATGTGAAACAATCCAATTAATTTAAATAGAATTAACCCCTGTGAGAGCTCTTAAACACATATGTAAATGTTTTCAGGATCTGGGCCTAAATCATCTACACAATTTACTGGACATTAAACAGTTTTGTTTTTTAAAAAAAGTCATTACACTGAGATAAAATTTCATTTTTTTTAAATAAACAATTCTGTGAAAAGTGTCCAGTATAGGCAATTAAAGAAAGACAAATATTTTGGGAAGCCACTGGAATACCATCCCTTCTTAAATTATTTCACATATATGGGTATGAGAAGTTGGGGTGGGGGAAAATACTCTTTTAACCAAACATACAAGCAAGATAAAGTTGCTTGATTTTGCTGAGAAGATGCCCTGGAGATTTGGAGCAAATGCAGGAGGGTTAGGGCATCAACTGTTTGGAGCTCTGTGTGTGTGTGTGTGTGTGTGTGTGTGTGTGTGCGTGCGTGCGTGCGCATCTGAAGCAAAAAGCAGTTAGAAAGCAAAGAGAGAGCCCAAGGATTAGTCAAGATCATGGCCCAGAGATAAAGCACAGAGCCATAGTTTTGGCTGGACACACAGGCTTGGAACTTGTGAGAAAATAAACAGCCTACTGTGTTCAAGAAAACAAAACTTTGTGTACATCCCTTGTAAATAAATAAAATTGCACCAATAAAATACCTGATTCATAGTAGCAATTTTTCTCCTAATAGAAACAACCTGTGGAGGCCCCAAATATTGTCTCAGGCAAAAGGGCAACAAAAAGTAGAGAGTCATCATGTTTTACTAGATCATCTGATCTCCCTCATAATTAAGCCAGAAGTGTTTCCTTCTACTATAAATCATTAACTCACCAGGTGGTCAGCCTTCCTGTAGGCAGCAATCTTCTTAAAAGCTTGCTTTGCCAAAAATATCAGGTTTTTGATCTAGAATTTCATGTGTGCAAGTCCCTCCCTCTTGATGAATGTGCAGTTTGGGCAGGGACTTATTTCTACCTGTAATAAAAAAGTACAGAGAAAACATAAATTTCTGAGAACCATAATTCAGTGCCATCTGAAGCAGTTTTCAGTTCTTAAGATCCTTCAACCATTTATCTCTTTAGCCCATAACACACCATGAGGACACATACTACACAAAAGCTATTACATAAATTTTCTGGCTTCCCCTCTGACTGACGTGCCAAAATATGTATTATTATTTGAATTACAGTGGCATCTACAAGTCAAATATGGACTGAGACTCCCTTGTTCACAGTGTAGGGCAAAAAAAAAAAACCCAGGTAATTTATTAAATATCTCCCTCATGAAAGTTGGAAGCAAAAGTGTTCATTATCAAATGACGTCCATCTAGAAAAAGGGTTTTATAAGTTAACATATTCACTCACCCACAAACAAACAAAATGCCATAAATGGAAAGATATTCACCTCTGCTATAACTCCACTGAGTACATCAGATATCAGCATGACTCAATGTATAAAGATAAAGAGAAAACATATCCTTGAAAGCAAAGAGATTCCATTTTTGTTTTTTCTTATTTATATTAGAAAATAACAAGCTTAAGTTGTGATATTAGATTAATTTATAAAAACTTAACAATGGCCCCAAGAGTCTAGCCGTGTATCCTGTCTTTTGAAGTGGCCAGTGCCAGATACTTCAGAGGGAATGAACAGAACAGCTTTGAGTGATCCATCCTCTGTCTCCCAAACCTAGCTTCTAGCAGTGAAAAGTTCAGAGACATTCAAAAATAGAGGTTAGATCCTGGATCATCTTGGTTAATAGGCATTGATGAATCTATCCTCCATGAATATACATGATTCATTTTTTTAACCCAGTTAAACTTTTGGCCTTCGTGACATCCCATGGCAATGAGTTCCGCAGTTTGATGGTGTTTTTATGAAGGTGTATTTTGTTTGGTTTGTTTTAAAATTCCAAAGTGCAAGATGCATAAATATTATGGCAATGGCTAGCATTGTAAGAAAGCTAATCAATGATTTTCACAGTCACAGATTAGAGAATGAGGTTTATAATATACATGAAGCCACAAATACAGCAATTCCACACCACTACATTCCCACAAAATTGAGTCCCTCCACCAACTAACTAAAGAAAGCTAATGGAATAGAGAGACCAGACAAAAGAATGGAAGTACAGCCATATTTATTTTTTGGTAGAATAGGAGACTGGAGCTGCTCTGATAGAGACTGTAATAGAAGTTGATATTTTAAAGTTGGGGGGGGGGGATAGATGATGACAGAAGGTAGAAATTCCCTTCCCCCAATATTGGCAGGTGGATGTTAAACCTGAACACAATGGTGATGCACCTGTTGCAAACTGAAAGCTTTTCTAGAGGTTTTGGCACTAATTCTCCTTTCACAGCTGGGGGATTATATGTAATCTGAGCTGTCAGCACTGAAGTTCTTACGGCAGCATTGAAAAAGATTTGGCTTTCCCTTCTTCTAGAGTTAACACTACAAAGTGGTCTTTTATGAGGTTTGTCTTTCATCTCACCCTGCTGCAGTATCCTTTCAAGAAGTGTCATCATGAAGCAAAAGAGCAAAAAAGTTACTGCAAATGCAGAGATGTTTTTGCTTAGAAAAATATCTGTGTTTACTGAATTTTGCACAAAAGTGTATGTGATGGCATCTTAATTAGTATTTTTTCCTATAACAAGCCTGACTTTTAGTTTTCATTTCTATATATCCCAGCATTGTATTAATTTACTTTAATTTGATTCATTAACATCACCTGAAATAGCTCATTATCAATATTTAATAATAGGAATTATTTCTATAACTGACAGCGTGCAGCATTCCATTCAATTCAATGAGGCTCTATCTACATTCATGTCTATCTATATACTATCAACTTCAGAAGTGGTGCCTTTAGTGAACAGTGTTCATTGAAAAAAATTATTAACACAAGAAAAATAGAATGCCAAGTTCACACTATGACCCTGGGATCCTTTGGTGCCACCAATCAGCTGGTTCAGGGGGTTGCATAGGGTTTTACAGGGACCCCTTGAGTCAGTGAAATGTATAATAGTCAGGGTCGGATTATGACATTTTGAGGCCCTAAGAGGCACTCCATACTGTTAAAATGAACTTCTTATTTTCACAAAAAGGACAATAACTATATAAACATGACAAGTTATGTTCTCACAGGAAAACAAGAGAGGATATATAATTTTTACATTGATGAATAAGGAAAAGTATCCTTTTCATATGAATAAATGAAAAAAATGATTAATTTTGTTAGGGAAATACAAAGTTTATCCAGACTATATATAAATATATGTACAAATGTTTATTCCAATTTAATTTTTGTCTACAAAACAATGAGCTATTAGGATTTATCTTTTGCCATACTAGAAAAAAATACAGTGAAGGTTCCCAAAACTGATAGATGGAACCCAATACAAATTTATCCTTCTTGAGATCCACTCAACCTAAGTCTGTAAGACAATCACCTGCGAACTCAATCATATGAAGCATGGAGAGCACATGAAGCAGAAAGTGGTGTGAGCACTAATCTACTCAGTTGTACTTATGTACAGTTCAAAAGAAGAAAGAACACATTAACACCCAAGAAAATGAATTAAGACAGGAGTGAAAGCACTGTATGACTGAGCGTGATGGACCATAAACAAAAGATGGCATCCTTCCAGCTATTAGCAGCCAATGCGGAAGCTTTACATGACGTCACTCTGAGGATGAGACCCATATGAATATGAGCTTGGCAGGATTGCTTCACAAAACCGTGGTCTCCATCCTCACATTTTTCTCAATTTTATCGGCAGTGAGAATATTTATTTATTTATTTATGTATTTATTTAAATAAGTTATGAAGGCATGGTCAGAATTTTACTAGTAGCAGCTGGCCAACAAAACACTGCTTTAGGAGACT